GTTCAGAAAGGCTCTCATTAAATTTTCAACACTCCATCTTTTCCAGTGTCAAAAAGGCCCTTACTGGAGATCAGTTCCAGAGGAATGAATTATATATCTATAAATACACTTATAAAACAAAATAGAGGGTAGTCTTCAAAGCAAAAATAGTCGTTTTAATTCCACATTGCTAATTTAAAAGAAAGCCCAACTCTATCAAGCAAATGCCCCAGTTTTTAAAATGCTAACTGTAAGACATCAGAGTGTTGATTTCAAGAAGAAAAAGGGAAGCAATTTTTACGGGAGCTCTTGGATGTTTGCATTTCTAAAGATACCATTTGTCACCAAACACACCTCAATCCTCTCAGAATGGCTTCTTCATTGTATCTGTTTTATTTTTATCTGGACAAACAGAAGGTGATTTGGCACCATGGATGCAGCAGAAGCCATTATAAGTGCTGCATTCTCTTTCAACCCCCGCCCCCTTTTATTGTCACACAATAAATGTGTGTGTTGCCTTCTGCTGGAAACAAAAACTACCTAGGGAAAAGGAGGAGGCCAGATCTAAGTTTATTAGTTTGACAATGTGTGGGTACAGCAACACCTAGAATTTTAAACAAACTAAATTTGGAACAGATTTGGAATAGATTTGTTCCCACTTATATCATAGGGCCAACATGCCCTGGTAGTGTGCTTTCTCTATTTTGTTCTCATGACATTGCATTATCTCTTACTGGTAAGAGAAAATGCAATGTCATGCTCAGTTAGTCAGGCTTAAGTTATCCTTAACACTAAAATAAATATGTTAAAGAAGTTAAGGTAGTTTTTACCTCTTGTTATGATACTGCCCAAGGGTAGCCTCAAGGTATGTAAAATTTGTTGATTACCTTGGAAGTATGTCAGGTGATGGGCATGGATAGGGATTACAATGAGAATAGCCAACTCAATCTAGCCCAAGGGTATCCAACCATGGCAACTTTAAGATTTATAGACATGAGACTCATGCTGGATGGGGAATTCTGGGTATTAAAGTCCACAAGTCTTAAAGTTGTCAAGGTTGGATACCTCAGGCTAGCCTTTCCACCAAATCAAGGATGGATGTACATACTTCTGCTGAGGAGGAAACTCACATTCTCATCTACAAGAATTCCATTTTATGTAAGACTCTGGCCTGACTCTGCATTTTCTCTTGGTAGTCAAATGAACAAGGCTGTTAAATAGTCACTTCTTTCAAATATTACATTGTCTGACTTTGTTCTTTATTAATCCAGCATTTTTTAATTGGTAGCTTGATTCAGCTACTCAAGATTCATTTGGGCTGCCTTTAGATTTTCTGGCTATTTTTTTGAATTTGGGAATTCATATTCTGAATAAATAAGCAATAGCCAGAATAATGAGAAGAATAATAGGAACTGAACATATTAGATTGGTCAGTATAGATGAGTAAGGCTAGTGTTTTTCTTAATACAGTGTCACTTGAAGTACATAAAAATGTATTGACAATACTTTTGAGGCCAGGAAGTAAACTGATGCATTTGGCATCGTGAGCATTCCACTTCCTAACCAAGTACTTGGAAACCACATCTCCCTTCTTACTATACATTTAACAGGGGTGTCAAACTGGCGGCCTATGGGCCAGATGATTCACAAGTGGGCCATACCCACTCCAGCTCCACAAAGGGAAAAAGCATTGTGAAACGTCACATGACGGCAACGTGACGCCGCAGGTTTGACACCTGTGCTATATAAAGACCTGCATTAAAAAGGGGATTTGGATAAGCTTCTATTGACATGGAAAATTCTTTTGGATCCTTAACCAAAACGTAACATTTGAAGAGCAAGTTTTGTATAATGGTTAAGATGCCAGCCTAGAAACCAGGAGATTGTGAATTCTTAGATATGAAAGCTGGTTGGCTGACTTTAGATCAGTCACTCTCTCTCAGCCTAACCCACAACACAGTATTGTTGTGGAGAAAATTGGAGGAGGAAAGAGTATTAGTTATATTCAGGAACTTGATTTACTATAAAGTAGCAAAGGCAGGATAAAAAATAAATAATAAATTAAAAGAAAAAATATTCAATTTAATATCTCCCAACATCACTTTACTCTTAATTTCCTTGTCCTGAGTTTCTCTCAGTCCTTTGAGGTAGTCCAGGCAGGAAGCCAAAAACATGAGTACAGGGTAGAGGAACAAAATCTTTCTTTACCCCAGCCCTCCTTTGGAGTCAGGTTTTATATATCAGACTTTTTTATAGGCTGCTATTATTCTTTCTGTCTCCCAAGGTTATTGTAGCCCATTACAGTTCCCCAGCCATCAGGAAAAATATCTTGAACTTGCCCCTGTTTTTGCTGCTATGAGGTTACCAAACTTGGTAAAAGTAGTTTTAGAAATTATTTCTATAGATTAATCCAACTCCAATACTCTCCTCCACTACACCAACCTGAATTATTATGAAACTGGCCTCTCTTTTGCCTGTCAAGTTAGTTTTCTGACTATAAGTATTAATGTCAAGATAAAAGAAAAAACAGCTATTAGTAATATAGGAAACTGAAATGAAACTAACCGTTAAAATGAACATTTTGATTTTTAGATTAGAATATTACAGTAATATTGTGATTAGAAAGAGATACATCCTTATTGCAAAATAGCCAAGATTTCCAAAGTCTACTCTCAATCTAAAAAAGAATTGTCTTTTCCACCAGCTTTGGGTAGGTGACATTTCAGCTATGTGCTATATCCTTTATAAAAATCAGAAAGTTTCATAACAAAGGTACTTCAGATGCTTTAGACAGGCAATTAAGAACTCACAATCTTAAAACTTCAATCCTAAATCACAGGTGGCATAATTAAGGAGAGATAAATGCTATTATATAAGGCTGGCTAAATTGCATTCTCAATAGACCTTGAATAATGCTTGGGAACTTTAAGGAGTCAAAACATTGCTTGATTGGATGGTAACCTTCCCAAAAATGCCTGTATATCAATCCAAGGATCTAAACAAATGAGGGTATCAAGTTGTACCAAGTTGACTTTTTCTAGCTCTGGAAGCTAAGGAGACCCAGAACTGATTAGTACATAGGATGAGAAACTCCCAGAGCTAGACTAGACTGAAAAATTGAAAAATATTCCAGAAAACAGTAACGAGCCCCTTTGTAGTGCTATAGAATATGAGAAAAGTACATAGATAGATTAATGAAATCACCAGCAGTGAAGCTCAAATTAAAGAAAATTACTTTTTGGCAAACTCAGAAAAATTGTCAATTCTTAACAATAGACTAAATATCTGGGCAGCAATAAAAATCAAAAAGAGATGATAACAGGTTGAAACAATAGCAGCGATTAAATAAAATAATTGCTTAGTACAGGAAGATTTAAGCGAGAATCCTTCCACTGTTAAGAACTAAGCTTTTTCAACAAGTCCAAAATAACTTCTTTGCATATGATTACTGCATTTTCAGCAAGAAAATATACTTTCTCTTTGGAAACAATACTATTTGCTTTGTAGACTATTTCTGGTTAGATTTAAATATTTTGAACTAGGAGGGCTCAGTTATTTACTGAGTGACATACTAAGTATATCTCCTTCCCTCTCAAAGAGCAATATTATGTAAATCATGTCATTACTGCACACCCAACCAATTAAGGAACTTAGTGCTTTTGAATCAGTAGAGCAAGTTAATTGAGAACAGCTTAACATACATTTGTTTCAATTGAATTTTATTGATGATACTAGGTTGGGGTACCAATTTGTATTGCATCTGATAATCACCACATAAGATTCTTTCAGATCAATCCTTTTATGACCCACACAAGAATCTGCCCGGGCATTTTTATCATTCCCTGGAAACTCCTTTTTCCTTTTTTTTTTTTTTTTTTTTGGCACATCTGAGTTAAATCTATTTTCTAGGGTTTCTCAAGCTATTTCATAAAAGCGTGGTCAGATAATTGAATTCCTTTAATTTCTCAGGATGCAGTTCATTCTGGAGATTACAATTTGTTTGAAGTATATAGATTATTTTTCTGTCACTCTTAAGGATCAATCCTGCCCCTTTACTCTTCTTCTAACAATTTATTAGTACACATATTCTTTTCTTCAACAAGAATATCCAACAAATATCCAACCTATCCAACAAATTCTAGGCAGCCCTGATTATGAAAGTAGTAGCAGTGATAGTAGAAGAATTTTCATTTGGCTAAACAGAGCATTTTTAAATGGATGCAACCTTCCAGGTTCTTGGAAAATGTGAATGGACATTTTATTTGGCTAATTGTAGTTATTTGGATTATACACTGATCTTAAAGTGTACCTGATTGGTATCTTTTTCTTTGCTTCTTCACTTGATCAATTCCAAATTTTTAAAAGTGAGATAGCCTTTTAATGGCCCAAGTTGTGATACAGTTAACCTTAAAATAGCTTGGAAGGCTCAGTTCATAGTTGGATTGGGTATTGGCTATTGGCTAGACAAGAAAATCAACAGATGTCCCCAAATAGGACAATATCAAGCTTCTTTTGTAATGCTGCTAATAAATTGCACAGATATGTTCATGAAGTTTCCAAGAAGTTAGCATGAGTTGAAGGAAGTTTTACTTTTAAAACCTTTCATATGTTATGAATTAAAACAAAAGAGTGAACATATTTCTAACTAACTAGCTATTATAATGAAACATGCATTTACTGAAAACTCTAAAAATATTACATTGAACAGAAGAAATGTATGAGGTTAGAATTTGGCAAGTCAATCTGAGAGTATCTTCAACAACCAGGTTAAATACATCCTGTCTTTGAAAAGTTGAAAGAGGAGGGAAACTGCATCCAAATATTGGGGGAGGGGAGTATAGATTTACAAAAATGTAGAGCCCTGCTGAGAGAGTTTAAAAACTGCTAATTTCATGCAGCTGCCCACATACATGTGCAGGTTTAAACACTCAGATTTTGAGACAGGTGAGGTGAATTATCACATCTTGCATTGCAATCAAGATGAACTAACCTTTTCCTTTGTTTTCTTTTCTTCTGTCCAGGAGGTGAATTAGTTATCCCTCTTCTTGTAGAAGACCCTTTAGATATCCCTCCTATTACTACTCGTGCACCTTTCATTACACTCCCCACTACCTTCCGTCCCCTCCTCACCATTATTGAGACCACCAAAGATTCCCTGTCCATGACCTCTGAGGCGGGGTTACCTTGCTTGTCGGACCAAGGCAGCGATGGTTGTGATGATGATGGCTTGGTGATATCTGGGTATGGCTCAGGGGAAACTTTTGACTCTAATCTACCCCCTACTGATGATGAAGATTTTTACACCACCTTCTCCTTGGTAACAGATAAAAGTCTTTCCACTTCAATCTTCGAAGGTGGCTACAAAGCACACGCACCCAAGTGGGAAGCCAAGGACTTTAGACCTAACAAAGTCTTCGAAACTGGTAGGACTGCTATCACAGCTTTGTCCCCTGAGCTGATCCGCTCCACAGCTTCGTCCTCGACTGGGATGGTGCCCAAATTGCCAGCTGGCAACATGAATAACCGTGACCTCAAACCCCAGCCTGATATAGTCTTGCTTCCGTTGCCCACTGCCTATGAGCTAGACAGCACAAAACTGAAGAGCCCACTAATAACTTCCCCCATGTTCCGTAATGTGCCCACAGCAAACCCCACGGAGCCAGGAATCAGACGGGTTCCGGGGGCCTCAGAGGTGGTCCGTGAGTCGAGCAGCACAACGGGAATGGTCGTCGGCATTGTAGCTGCTGCTGCCCTCTGCATCCTGATCCTCCTGTATGCCATGTACAAGTACAGGAACAGGGACGAAGGGTCCTATCAGGTGGATGAGACGCGTAACTACATCAGCAACTCAGCCCAGAGCAATGGCACGCTCATGAAGGAGAAGCAGCAGAGTTCAAAGAGCGGCCACAAGAAACAGAAAAACAAGGACAAAGAATATTATGTGTAAAAACAAAACAAAAATATTTATATATAAATATATAAATATTGAATGAGCTATAACTGAACCAAAACTGTTGCAGCCAACGAGATTGGGAGAAACCGTCTGTGGTTTGAGACCAATGTTGAGCATAAACATTTCAGTCGTTGACTGCTAAGTTTTCAAATCACTGCTTGGAGTCCCCAAACTCTGCCCTCCTGTATTATAAAGCACATATAGTGTTCAAAAGAAGGCCTCCCCAGCATATCCATGTTGGCAGACTTAAAAGCCTTCCGAGTTCCTCCTCAGCTGAACTGTTCTGCAAGGGCAGAAGACTTCACGGCTTACTTGTTTCGTATCTCCAAGTGAGTCTTTAATGATGTTCACAATATTTGACTGTACTCTATTTTTTTCCAGTTTATTATTTTAAAAAATAACAAAAAAATAGAAAAAGAAAAAAAGTGGAAATATTAGAAACAAAACAGAACAACTGATCTGTCCGTGTTCAGCCTGAGTATCATTTTTTTCAAGATGTGAGGGGGAAAGAAATAGTAATACTAATAATAAAAAATGGTTTGGGGTTTTCATTATATTTTTTGTCTGAGTTTTTTTCATTTTCTGTGAGAGGTTTTGGGAGAATGAGCCAGGACATAAGTCAAGAAGAAATCTTGGGGAAAAATATACTAAATAAAGACTGTTGCCATATATGAACTCAAGTTCCATTCACAGTGTTTGCTCTACATATCAGGTTGTGTTGTCTCTTGAATCTGTTGTCTGCAGTAAGTTGTTAACATAAAAAAGAAAGGTGAGGAAGAGGCAGTGATGGTGATCATGCAGAAAATGATGGTCATGGAATATTGGACAACCCCAGATACTGGCTCTAGTTATTTGTTGGTAAAGTCATAAGAGGATAACAGTTTCTTCTTTGACTAGAAGCCCCTAGCCATGTCTGATTACCATTTGCTCAATTATGGGGAAAAAACAACAGCATCAAAATCAAAGTAGTTATTTTCAATTGAATAGTCCAAGCAAAAATAAGGGAGCCATTGTCTGGTTCTTTGGCATAGGACACTGTATGAATGCAGAGTAGTGATCAACTGAATAAAGTCTTTAGAAAGATTATGGAGTTTGTCTTGTGACATAATCACATGTCACACAAGCCAAAAAATGTCATGGAGGAATTAAAAATAGGGATTGTGCTTTAAAACAAAACAAAACCAAGATGGTATGTTTCATATGTAACAATTTAATTTTGTAGATTGACATTTCTGATTCGCTGTCCTTCCATTTGCCCTATGCTCCCTATCCCTTGACTTTTATATGAAAGAAGATAAATTTAAAAAGTCCTTATGACACACAGAAAAAATAAAGGAGCTTATTAATAGTATAATATATATATAAATAAATAAATATAAATATATATATATATATATACAGACACAGATATATTTATCATGGTATGTTTGATGGGATGACTGGAAAAGAAATGCTGTTAAAATCTTAATATGAAATGAGACTGTTGTAAAGAGAAAATGTTTTTACAAAACAGCAAAAATCTAAACTTTAAAAATGTGAACAGAGTGTGCATTTTAACCTTGTCACAGTTACCTGTGTCAAAAAAAAAAAAAAACAATTTTCAGATAAGAATAATTTTTTGTTTACATATTTTACTACAATTTTTTTGGCTGGTGTAATTTCTAAATGGGTACCCTCATGTACATAAAATGCTCTGAGATTTCATTGAGTTGTTGATTATATTCAGTGTACTTAATTGTTGGATTGTTTCTTTTTTTTAAAAAAAAATCTCTTCCATTTTTTTTAAAGAGCAACTTACTGTACAGTAAAAATAATCAACTGGTGTTTTCTGGCCACAAATATCATGTGCAAAAAATAACAATAATAAATAAAAGCAAACAAGGAGGACAGCGAGATTGATAGAAACAGGGAAAACACATAACTTAGAGGACTTGGCAAATTTAAAAAAAATGTACAATTTTCCTGTGTACAGATGAAATCTAATCAGCTGTTTAGGTTTAGAAATCTACTCTTGCTGGTGTTTATAAGTCGCATGAATCTTTGAAGACGTGTTATCTAATGCACACACGCACATGGGAACAATAAAAAAGGCAGCCTTCTCATATGCTTTGAGAAGAGGCTTACCTGGCTAACAAATCTTTTTGGTGTGTGAGAGGTTTATTTTGTTTTCTTTGGTTTAATTTTTAATTTTTTTTTACACTACAACAGAGAAAGAAAGAAAGAGAGAGAGAAAGAGAAAGATTGGCTTTTAAAAGATATGAAAGAATGATTTTCAACAGCCTCACTGGCCAAACATATATGGAGTTGATTATATCTTGATGTCTGTAAAAGATTGCTGCTGTTCTTGGAGTCTTGTGAAATGATTTTCTGCTTTTTTCTTTTCTTTAGGAAACCCCACTTTTCTTTTCTCTGTTTGTTTGGGACAGATTTTGGGGAACATGTGCATTTCTGTCTAGAAGCTTTTCCCATTTCACTATTATTTTCTGAACAGAACTGTGAAGATTTTTGTTGACGTTATTGTGCCGTTATCTCTCACTTTTGTTTCCTTTCTTCTCTCCATCCTTTCCTTTTTCCCCTGTTCTTTTCTTTTCATAATTGCCTTTTTGTTCAAGAATATGCTTAGCAATAAAATGTTCTTCCCAAAGCCCTGTTGTTGCTGTGACTTTCTGTCCAAAGAGATAAGGGATTTTCCTTTTTCTTAAGAGATTTGGGTTATAAGAACACTTCAGCTAATTTAACAAGTTTACTCTGCAAGAGAGCTTAGGAGAAAAAGATGCAGGATTGTCACATTTTTAACCTCACAACAAACCTTGGAATAAATTAGTCAGTGAGTTTCCTGGGCTAATAAACTTCAATCTTTTACCCATTTCTAAACTCTATATGTTAAACCAAGGGTCCCCAAACATCACACTGCGGCCCACCACCAGAATTGGACCTCACAAGTGGAGGACCCATATGCACACATGGATGTGCAGCTTGATTTGTGCAAGCGGCAGGCCAACTCCCATGCACGTGCATGCACAGCTCATGTGTAAGTTGAGCTGCACACACATGCACATTTGCATCAACCTGCTGCTCCTGTTGAAGTTGAACTGCAAGTGTGAATGCATAGCAGGCCAGTTCCCCCCTCTCTCCCTGGGCCACCAAGCCGCAAAAGCTGGGAACCACTGCTCTGAACCCATGCATCACACTTTTGCTCATATTCTTGGGTTTATGAACAATATCTGGTTATCAGATACTAGTTTACTACTACATAATAAAAACCAGGAGAGCTTTGTTAATTTGCTCGTTTATTGATTGTTTGGATTTGCAAATTTATTGATTGGTTTTCTAAGCATTTAAAAAAAAATCCACAGAATAAAAATATGTAAGACTTTTAAACTCCAGTAAAAAAAACCAAAGAGAGAAAGAGAAAAAGCAAAGTCAGCACAATAAAAGTAGTCTTTTTAAAAATGAATTCATCAAATTTAGGTACCGCCCCATCTCATTCTTAGAGTTTAAAGAAAAGGTTGATATAATATAAGAATACATGATATAATATTGATGCAATGCATCTATCCATCCATCCATCCAAAACTAGAAAGCTGTTTAATGATTATAAGGGCAGAGATTTTAAAAACCTCCCTGTATTGAAGGCATGGTATTGAAGGCAAATTGAAAAACCATACACTTAAAGAGAATACATGTGAAGATTCTGAAGAAGATTTTGGAATAAATGGAAGGATGGTGCCATGTTTCCAATCTGTTACTTGTTTTATAGCCCTTCAAATCAATGCAGATAAGCCCAAGCCAGCAGTCTTGATAACAGTGCCAAAGTCATCATTTTATACCAGTTGTTGTCAACTCTGTTTTGGGCCATTCAGTTGCTAATAATTGTGATAGGGTTTTCAAAGTTGTTGTTGTGGTTTGCCGGCAGCCAGTGCAGACGGCAGAGGTATTGGATGGTGAGAACGAAAGGGAACCAGTCAAGGACTCTTAGCGAGGACTTGGATGAGGGTCCTGCATCTGATGCAGGGATGGGACCAGGACTATCTGAGAATGGGGTGCTGCCTCTGGAGCCTTTGGAGTCTGGCAGCAGCGACGCAGAGGACCCCGGGGAGCCTGTTCCCAGGACCCCGGGGAGCCCCTCCCATAAGGGATAAAAGCCGGCCATCTGTGATGTGCTCTTTGCAGGAAGCAAAGAAGTTCATTAGATTCTGATTCCTCATCAAAGCCCTGCGGACTCTGGTTTGTCTTTGCTGGAATTTCTGTCAGTTTATCTGCTAATTAAGTGGACATCTGTTGCTTGGCCATCTTTTACAACTCTGAAAGGTGTGCTCTTATCTCAGACAATTGTGTTTAATGAGTTTTGGCTGGGAATGCAAATAATTCCCAGCATCACATTAAAAAAGGTTTGCTTTTACACACAGCGTGTGTTTTCTTAATTTGAACGAAGCCTGGGTCAGAACAGTTGTTTTGAAAGAGATGAATTTGATTCTTCATGGGAAGTATAGTGCAGTTGCTTCAGAAATAGTTTGAATGTCGCTCATCTAGTCTGAATAATTATTTAACAGTTTTTTTTTTTTGGTCTGGATCAACTCCTTGAACTTCCTTCAGTCTATTCCAGGAGCCAGACATAGCTTCATCTTCTTGCAAAAACAAGTAGGCTGCATGTCCTACTGATGAAACTACCCCTTTTATATGAATGCTAAATTTGCATGGGAAAAGGAGTGTGACAGAAAGAATTCCATAGGACCACAAAGTGAAGATGTCACATAGAAGGAAAATGCCTTTACTCTAAATAGCACCAAGTTTGCATGCTGAAGGTCCTCAGTCTGAGTCTTTCCTCTTCCCTGAAAATCTAGGATCACACAGTATCAAATTGTAAATGGTTTAGTTTGGGAGACATGAATAAAATAGCCTAATATGGTTTAAGGAGGCTTGTTAGAAATAAAAGGAAAGTATGATTCAATCAGATGCAGTTTCATAACATTTTTCTTAATATCTTGATGCTCTTCTCCTTGAAAGATTGATTTATAATTACTGTGTGGGCAAGAAGCTCATTAGCACTGCATTTTTCTCTGTTTTTAATAGCACTATAGGAACCGTGGCATGGTTTCATTCTATATGCTTCACTAACTGAGAGTCAAACAGCTCTTTTTCATATAAGGCACACAAAAATTGTTTCCCCATGGACCTTGTTGGGAGTGGATTTGAGATTCCTGCTCCCAGATGACCTTCAGAGAGATGAATGCCTATAGAACAAAGTTTGGATAGCCTTCCTCATTCCTGGGGAAAAAAATCCATCCAATATATATATTAGCTCACTTCTGAAACATGGGGTGGCCGAGATCCTTGTTTTTTCCCACCAGAGTTCTTATTCACACGTCA